GCGCCGCCCAGTGGGGCCGGGATTCCGGACAGCCTCCGCCCCAGCACCCCACTTACTTGGCTTTGAGACGCAGCAGCTCCTCAAACTGACCGGCGGAACCGATCTCCACCACGGACGCCGCCTCGACCGCCCCCGCCGCCATGCTGCCGCCGCCAGACCGGAGTAATCGAGCGCGAGAGGCGGAGCGCCGCCCAACCCCAAGAACCCGCCCCTGTCGGCCTGTGGCCGCGCCCCTGAGGACCCGCCCGGCCCTCAGGCCCCGCCCCTCTCGATATGAACTACATCACAGACTGCCAGACGACCCTCAGGCCCCACCCCTCCCGGCCTGCGCCAGCCTCCTCGGACCCCGCCCCGCCCCCGGGCCCTGCCCTGGCCGACGTGCGCACGCGCTCTCCAGATTCGCCCCGCCCTGGGTCCGCTCACGTAGACGGGTGCACACCTCCCACGGACACGCCCCGTCCTCAGGCCCCGCCCCTGGACCCGGCGTCCGCCGATTCGACGGGTGGCTTGCCCGTCTTTCCCTAGGCCCGCCCGCCCGGCTAGCGCCGCCTACCGAAGTCCCACACTCGCCTCGCCGCCCCCCGCCCGCCGCAGCGGCGGAGACCGGAAGCTGGCGGGTGGAGCCTGCAGTCTTGGACCGGGCTTATCTCAGGGAATCCTGACCTCCAGGATCAAACTGACCTGCCCATGCAGCTGCGCTGTCCAAGTGTGGCCGTGGGTCTGCTGGGCGCTTGACTTGTAACTAGCCCGAATTTCAGAATATGATGTTGGTGGCGTGATGGTTGCGTGCTGGGCTGCTAACCACTGTCAGCACTCCAACCCTCCAACCGTTCAGCGTACAGCCGCGGCAACCCCCTATGGCGATTCCCGTAGGGTTGCTATGTGCCCGACTGACCCAACTGATTCAAAGATTTAGTGCAAAGGGTGCAAATTAACGCATCGGTGATTTGGATATTGATGACATGTTGAGATGTTAATGGGGGGGAGGGTGTACTGGAAGCTATAAAATAGCCATAAAGTTACATTTACTTCCTTTCACCTTTGTGATGTGCACCAGCGGGAAATGTCAAGTACCGGAGGTGGCTCCCTCCCGCTGTTTTCTATGTAAGAGCGCTGTAACTGATGAAAACGGGCCTTGTGGGGCCGCACCCACCGCAGGTTTGCCTCGACCTGAGCCCACGGCATGATTTACAATGCAGCTGAAGAGTGGAAAGAAACATTAGGAATCCTGGCTGTGGAGCCCTCCTTAGCCTACACAGTGATAAGACTGTGAACTCAGCACATGCGTGTGCACACACAGGCACACACAGCAGAACCAGGGACATCTGAGTAAAAGAAGTGGATGGGAATACCTTGCAAACCACCACTGGGGCGACTGCAAAGAGTGTACTCATGTCCTCGCTTCTCTCTCCCCCAACTGCTCATAGGTCTACAAAGAGCTCCAAATACAGTTTTAATTAAAAAAAAAACAAAAACAGAAGTAGAAGTCCTAAAAGTTTATGATGTGGAAGAATGTGATAAAAACTCAAAACTCACAAGGCAATTGCGACTCATAGTGACTGCCCAGGACAGAGTAGAACTGCCCCTGTCAGTTTCCAAGACTGTAAATCTTTAGATTTATGCACACAGCCTCAACGTTCTCCCCTGAAGTAACTGGTGGGTTCGAACTATTAACCTCATGGTTAGCAGCCCAACACATAACCCACTGCTCCACCAGGGCTCCTTGGGAAAAAGTCATGGGAGGGGGGGGACAAATCAGCAGGTAGCACGGCAAATTATATATTCTGACTGCCGTTGTCAATCCAGAGCTGCAGAACAAGACTGGGACCATTGGATTTTCCAGGGACTGGGGCCTGGGGACCAGGCTCTGGGGCGTGGGTGGGAGTTCTGGTCTGGCCTGGGGAAAGGGGCTTCAGGAGCTTCCCCGTGTGCTCCACTGGCTGTGGGATAAAGCTGGTGTGTGGGGTGTCTGTCTGCGGTGTAATCATTGTACAGGATGATGACAGCTAACTTCGCTGAGTGTCTACTACGTTCCGAGCGCTGCCCTCCAAAACAAAGAACTCTGAGTGGTTCACGGTGGATTCCAGGGCCCACGCCCCGGGACACAATCACTTACTGTGAGGGATACCCGGTGCCCTGCGTGAAGGCTGGCAGTGGGGCTCCCAGTGACCCAGCCTTTGTAAGTGCTTACCTCGAGAATCCGGGGGAGCCTAGAGGAGGCTGCGTTTCAGGGGCAGCTCCTGGCATCCCAAACTCAAGGTCATCACATCAATTCTGAGTCCTGGTGACCTCGTTAGGCTGGATTGAAGAAAGAAACAGACTCAGTGGCACTCACAGATGTGTAGAAGAGAGCTTTACATCAAGAAGTGCTAATGCAGCCGTGACACACCCCAGCCTCGTCCAACTCAAGTCCATATGGCCCACGCTAGCCCACGAAGCACGCAGCCACATGCAATGATGATGGATCCAATGGTGGTGGATGCATCTCCAGGGCTCACTGTGGCCTTGACAGGTAGGTGAAGGCAGAGAGACAGGGGGAGGGTCCCAGGACCCTCCTTATGAGGAGGTCATGCCCACCAGGAGGCACCATCAGGCTGTGACCTGATTGACAGTCTAGACTCCACCCCCTACAATTCAGCTGACATGGAATCCTGTAATACCACAGTGACCCTGGAGGACAGGCAGAGTAGACCTGTCCTGAGACTGTGACTCTGTAGGGGAGTAGAGAGCCTCATCTTGGTTCCCTGGAGCAGGTGGTGGTTTCGAAAAGCTGACCTTGCAATTCGAAGCTCAATGTATAACCACTACCCTACCAGAGCTCCCACCGGGCATCCCGTGCACTGCCACTCTTGCCAAATGGCCATTTGCCTTCCTTTGAGAGAGACTTGGATTCCAATTAGTCTGCCCCCAGCATCAGTAGAGAGTAATTCCCACCGCAGGGGGCGTAATTCCTTGGGAGAGTTCACAGTTACAAGATGAAGGGAGCCCCACAAAGAAACCGTGCCACTCTAAGTACCACGGAGTCGTGCGGAAGGACACGGTTTTACATTTCTCAGGCTGAGATAACATCTTCCCCATCTGCTATAAAAAGCACAAATGAGCCGCATCTCAGCTGAGAACTTGCTGGCATGGAGCTTCCTGCCAGGAGCCCATGGCCTAGACCCCCACCCTCCGGAAGGGCTTTAGGGTTTAGGGCCATGGGGGTGCTGGGGTGTCCTCTGCGTGGGCACAAGGGCTTGCCCAGTGGCAGTCAGGAGAGCACAGTGACGTGGGCACCGGGCACCGAGCACAGGCCGTGTACTGCCCCCACCAGTCTGATTCCCCTGCTGGGATCTAACCCAGTAGAACCGCCCCTGTGGATTTCCAAGACTAACTCTACAGGAGCAGGCAGCCTCATCTTTCTCCCTTGGAGCAGCTGGTGGGTTTGAACTGCCGTCCTTGTAGTTAGCAGCCCCGTGTATAACTACTACACCAGCGAGGGCCACTTTGGGTCAGAATACACTCTATGGCAATGTTTGGTTTTTTTACTTTGGTCTGGGTGGATTCAGGTCTGAATCCCACCATCACCCTCCCTGGCACCTCCCTGTCCCAGGGACACCCCACCTGGCCTGTAGAGAGTCCGGGGGAACCCAAGAAGCAGACTTTTCAGGCCCCAACAGAGTCCTCCAGGGACTTCTGTCTCACTGCTCCTCAGCGTATCCGTCCCGGACAGCCAGATGTGGAGAGGCCATCTCCCAGCAGGCCACGCTGAGGGAGTGTGTGGGGCAGTAGCGCCAATCTGCCCACCTGCACTTTCCTTCCCTGCTAACCAGTCTGGGACTCAGAAGGGCGGGGGCAGATATTTCCTCCCCCGACCCTGAGGGACTTGATCTGGAAGGCAAGTCAGCCAATTTTCTGTGTTCTCTTCCTTAGCAAAGAACCTCTTTTCCCGGAAGAACCCTCCATATATGTGGCTATAAAGGTTGTTTCTGCTGCCATCGCTGGGTTTTTATTGGTAGTATTTTTGTCACACTTGCTTGAGAAATAATTATTTCCCAAGAAAAGAAGGATTATATATCCAGTAAACCAAAGAAGGCTTGCTGTTGATTAGGGACCCCTGACAGCTCCCAAACGTAGAGCGGCGTTTCCAAGCAGTGACTTGGACAATGTATGTGCAGGTTGATTTGTAAAACAGATTTCAAGGCCTACTTCTCCTCGACGCTGCCCATAAACACACGTTCCATTTCTGTCCCCAGGACGTGTGTGCTACCTGACAGCTTTGAGGTCATCCAGTTTCCAGCAGCAGCTCAGACTGGCTGGAGAAGTAAGGCCCTCACGTCGTCTGCCCTGCATTGCGGGGTTGCTGCCTAGGAGACAAGACGCCCGGCCGTGACCCTCTGCAGAAGGAACGTGCACACATCACACGCCTCCAGCCGCCTGAAGCCCAGCTCCACCAGGTGACCCTGAAGCCCAGCTCCACCAGGTGACTGTCATTGTACCGGGCCTTTGCAGGGTTACGATTTCTCCGGCTGCAGGCTCCTGTGGGGAGCTGGCAGCCGGCTTGCCATCGCTGCCTGGATGCCCATCTCTCCTCTCCCGTATTGGACCAGACCTGGAGACCAGCGTGGCATGGACAGCTGGCTCCCAGGCTGCAGGTGGCACCAGGGGCCTCTGGAGGCAGGGGGAGAGGTGGCCTTTGTGGCTTCCTGAGTCAACCCTGAGAACATAGTGCAGACTGAACACCAACGGACTCTGGGTCTGCTGGACTCCTGGGGGTCTGGGTGGGAAACAGGAAGGTTGTTCCCCAGGTTGTCCCCCCATATGACGTGCCAAACCTAAGGTGCTGCTTGCTAACACCTGGTCAATGACCATACACACTTGGAGGTCAGCTGCTTAAAGGTTGTCTCCCTGAGGGTTATCAGCCATCTGGAGCAATCAGACCCTGTGGTCTCCCTTCTGATACGGATAATGGACTGTCCCCCTGAAGGAAAGCCCGAAGATTAAGGCCAAGCAACTCAGGGACGACCAAGGTTAGGCTGCCATCTTGCCTCTAGACTCCATCTATCTTGTCACATGTATGCCCCTAGTGCCTCCCCTTCCTATTGTGTACACCCCTAGCCCATCCCCTTCCTGTCACACGTATGCCTGTTGTATAACCCCTTCCTG